CTGCTTCAATATCTCAAAATGACCACCGGCGTTTGAAAAGGCATTCCCCGGCCCCTCCCCAGACAGGCCTGTCATTTCAGTCAGTTGTTCAGAAATGCACGACTGTTTTTTCACTCGGCTTTACTCTCAAACCAGCATGCCCCTTACATCAGCTCGTATGAGTTATTTACCAAATATGGCGTGATAACCCACCTCGTGAGTGATATTTCATACTAGAAAGCACACATTGGATGCAGGAGTATCCCCAGATCCCAGCCAGCATGCCTGCTTAAAGGAGCAGAGGCCAGATGTTGAACGCTTCGGGGCTTCTTCCCCCCCACCCCCATTTTGCTTCTGCAAAGACCTCGTCCTGGTATTCCCCTCCGCCGCTCCCCTCCCCTGCATAATGTACACAGACCAGCTTGTCATCGCCCAGACCAAGATCAACAGAGGTGCAAGGCACTGCTATTTGCTCATGCAGTTCAAACAAACAGCAGGGGGGGTGCTGTAAGAACATGACACCAGAGACATTCGGACACTCTTTTTCCGCCAGCAAGGCAGAAGTGATTTTGCACCACTGAGTGTGAAAACGCTGCCCTCGGCCAATCTGCAGGGCCCGTTTTCTGTTTCCTTACATGGGAGGAGCTGCTGGATCTTCCACTAACGCTGTGGCTTGATGTGAAAGCAGGGGAGGGGACTGGCCTCCCTCTCCTTGGGATTTTCATGAAGCCTCTTCACCCTATTTTCAGAGGCTGGGATCATCTTTGAAGCGGAAAGCAAACAGGCCTTGGCAGGGCTTTTTTTTGTAGAAAAAGCCCAGCAGGAACTCATTAGCATAATAGGCCACACCCAACAGCAGAAACTCGTTAACCTATTAGGCTACACCCCTGAAATCACAGCTCAGTGGCATATTAGGCCACACCCCCATGTTGCCACACCCACCTTTTGCTTCTTATTCTGTTTACTTTGTTGTCAAAAACCTGGGGGCTTTTTTGTAGCAGGAACTCCTTTGCATGTTAGGCCACACACCCCTAATGTAGCCAGTCCTAATGAGTCTCTGCTGTTGGGTGTGGCCTATTATGCTAATGAGTTCCTGCTGGGCGTGGCCAACTCGGGAGCCAGCCGGAACTCCGTTCCTGTGCG